GGAAGTGAATTTGTTAACATTATCGGATTTCCCTTTAACAGAACTAAATTTCCCTTTCTTGCTAGGGACATTTTATAAAATTTCCCATTGGTCCCTGCGCAGTTTTGAAAGGCTCCCGACAGAATAGTATTAAAAATCAGTGTGGGAATCATAGTATTGCAAACTGCAAGAGCATACAGAGATGCCAAAGTCGAAAAACAAAGTCCCTATCAAATGTCCCCGTTCAAATTTCACATGAAAAAATGTGGTATTCCGAGCCAAAACACTTATTTTGTTAATTAGGATAAATTATCTTTCTAATAAAAGAACCATTAACCTTATCGGATAAATTTAGAATAAGTCCCAAGGAAATTCTAACTTATATCCATACCGTGACAACTCTAGGCCATTTATACCAAATCCGAGCGGAATTTAGAACAAGGGCGGCGGATTTGCATTAATTGTCATAGCTAGCTTTACCGAGTTTTAAGGTGCAACCACAAAATAATTATTAATAAGTCATATATGCAAATAATTTCGATTCCGATGATGCAATTAGGAACATAAAACATCAAGGAATAGCATAAAAATATTATTGACTTATAAAGCTATCGCGAAGTATATTTAAAGAATTAATCTTTATACTGCCGAATTTAAATCCGCCTGTCATATGCTTGGCAGAAAGTTTCCGTGTGAATTTTTCGGAAGTTAACAGAGTAACAACAGAGGGAAATTCGATTCCGTGCAGTTCTTTCGGAAGTGAGTCTTGGAACAGGTCTGGGAAATTCGAATCCGTGTGAAATTTTCGGAAGTGAAAACTAGAACAGGGCCGTATGTATTTTCAAGGTTTAAACGGCCGCGCGTTGGGTTTTCGGCCCAAGTGGGTGGTTGATTGTTAGAAATTTATAGTTTATGCGGATGGCAGCTTCTTGTCGCTGTGGACCACGTAAACGCCTGGGATGATCGGATGATTTTTGTTGTATTCGTCGCTGGTTATGAAAATTTCTCTTATGGTTGCGCTGGGCGGGTTTTCTCGTCTAAATTTGTTGAAATTTTCCTCGTTGAGTTAGGGACTGCTACAATGGCATGTAATTATGCATTTGGTGCCAATCTAATGTGAAAGTCGGAGGTTAGATTTGCACGTGAGAGAAAATTCTAAATTAAATTACCCATCTCAGAACTGGCACCGAAATAGTAAAAGCTTTGATTTGTAAATTCTTTTCCGTTGCACCACTTGTGGTTTAAATAATTATTTTCATTTTTCTGGCCAATTACACGTGGTTTATATATACGACTGGTGTGGAGAGAGGTTTTTAAAAAACACGTCTGTACAGCTTGGTGGTCAAATCGGAAAAGAATGAGGGTAGAATATGGCGGGTATATCTGGCCTAGATCCGGAAACTATAACCTCCATGTTTGACATGTCTAATCTTTCCAATATCGAGATCGACCTTAACCCTTCCCGATACTTGGGGACTACCCTAAAAAAAATACTAAACTCGAAAAACATTTTTCTAACCATTAATGAAAACTTCAATAAATTTCTCCGATTTTTTTAATCTTTATATGGTATTATTTCTTATTAATATTTATAAATCAGCATTGACTTCAATTTTCTTTTCATACTACTACTAAAACTGCCTGAAGGCCAGTTCTACTACTAAAACTGCATGAAGGCCAGTTCTACTACCATATTGTACAAGCTATCTTATTGCATACTTCTAGGCTGCAATATATATATATGAGATACAAGCGCCACTACAATATTATAGGTATATTAGGCATTTTTCGTGTTATCAATACCACCAACACGAATTTTTATATTTTAACAACACTTAAAAATGGCTTAGGCCACGATCTGACGATCAAATTATTTTATTTCACAGAAAATGTTTAAAAAAATGTAAAAAACAATAATAGTTTTCTTTGTAATTTAATGGCAATCCTTGATAAATGTGATCAAATATTTTAATCGTCTGACCGTGGCTTTTCCTTATAATTTTTTTTTTAATCCCGCATTCATTCTTCATTCATAAAATAAATTAAAATCATCAATAAATATTATTATTATAGACATTATGATTATTTAGTTTAATTTATTTGATTTTAAATGAATAATATTTTTTCTACGAATTTTAAAACTACTAAAAATTTAGGATAAATGTGAGAACAAGATTTTTGGTTTTGGTGTAAATCATAGGATTTTTGATTATTATAAGTTGGTGATTTTTTTTTTGTTAAAAAAAATTATAATCGTAGTGCTTTTGAAATAACACAGCGCTTATGTAAGTGGCCTGATATTGATGCTATTCAGAAACCCACCGGGAAAATTCCTCTGGAAAATAACATATTTTCAAGAAGTTTCTCCATAGAAGCGGAAGGGACTAAACCTCATTCACCCCTTACATTTCTTCCATATCTGGTTTCAAAATACACGGGGGTGACACAAAAAGTAAGGGGGAAATGAGGTTTCTATCTGGATCTCTGGCAGAAGAATGCAGGACAAAATCCACTGGTTTTTCGACTACCCGCATTATAGATTTTCCACACGTACCCAGTTATGGTTTTCCTCCACTTGCAATATCTGTTTTTCTACACCCTCCCAGTTTTGGTTTTTCCAGACCCTCGCAGTTTTGGTTTTGCACTGCTTTGCAGTATCTGATTTTCCACAATAAAAATCATGTTTTTTGTAATATTTGTTTGTGTATTTATTAATAATATTTACAATCGAAGCATTGGAACTACAAATTTTTAATGCCTGAAGCATTCCCGGGTTTTGCTTGGCCGAATGCAGTACTTTGATATCCATTTCTTGTCTGTCTTCTGAAAATATCAAACATAATTTAGATATGAATGTAAGACCAGGAATAATAATAAGAGTAATTACCATTATTAGGTCTCCGCACAAAATTAAAGGATCTCTCCAGAAATTATGCCTGGTTTGCCATGGCCGATCATTTACCATCTGTTCAGTTGTTTTATGTCGGGTATCTATATCAAAAACTATGAGAAGAATAAATAAAATATGACAAACGCAGGCGCAACACTTCTGGTCCCAAGAAGTCTCAGTCGGCCTGGCTGAAATAAATGTTATATTTTGATTAAGTTAAACAACTAAGTTAGTACTGAAGTACTATTTATACAACCATTTAATGAACACCTCACACCATTTACCACTGGTAAAGATTAAAAACATTTCAAGTGTCACTGAAATGCAGAATTTGTGTTGAAGATAGCATCCGGAGGCGTATATTTATTAATGGCGAAAATATCTGTGATACTAACCTTTGTAACGCTGAAATAAAGGTTATAAAAAGACAAAATTCATTTTATCACTCACCTTTTTATTGTTTTTTAGATTAAAATTAACTATTTTCATTTTTTTTTTCACTTTTTCCAACAAATTTAAAAATTAAGTGACCCTGCATTATATTCTTGATAATACCATACAAAATGCAGATAAATGTGGGGTAAGTTTCTTTGTAAAGTTGGGTCACACTTTGGCGCCGAATAAATATTTAAACAATACTTTTACGGTCCCTAATCATTAAAGGTTACGTATATTATAGGTATATTAGGCATTTTTCGTGTTATCAATACCACCAACACGAATTTTTATATTTTAACAACACTTAAAAATGGCTTAGGCCACGATCTGACGATCAAATTATTTTATTTCACAGAAAATGTTTAAAAATGTAAAAAACAACAATAGTTTTCTTTGTAATTTAATGTAATTCCTTGATAAATGTGATCAAATATTTTAATCGTCTTTCCGTGGCTTTTCTCTATAATTTGGTTGAATCCCACATTCATCCTTATTATTATTTGAAAAATGTTGAGTAAAATAAATTAATATTATCATTATAAACATTATGATAATAATGTTATATAGTTTAATTTTTTTGATTAACAATTATGAATATTTTTTCTACGACTTTTAAAATTACTAAAAATTAAAACTAAATGTGAGAACAATTCTTTTGGTTTTGGTGTAAATCATAGGATTTTTGAATATTATAAGTTGGTGATTTTTTTGTTAAAAAATATTATAATCGTAGTGCCACAGAAATCACACAGCGCATAAATGGCCTGATATTGATGCTACTCAGAAACCCACCCTCATTTAACGGTCAGAAATTATCTATCCCTACACCGCCGCCTGCAAAAAGGAACAGGATTTCAAGAACACAAAAACCAACTTCTCACATTCCCGCTGGGAACCCACCCCACCGCTCAGAAATTATCTATCTCCACACCGCCGCCTGCAAAAAGGAACAGGATTTCAAGAACACAAAAACCAACTTCTCATTTTTTCGCTGGGATAGCTTGGATGCACGATGATCGGTCATTGCATTGCATAAAAACATTTAGGCTTGCCAAAAGCTTTTGACAGATGCACTTTTATGTAAAAAAATAAAAAAATTCTGGCGCTACCCAATCGGATCCTTACACAATATAAATGTACATTTTTATTATGGAATTAAATGCAGGTATTAAATGAACTTTACTAACAAAACCAATTGGTTTTAATTACGGCTGTCCATATATTTCAGTATATTTAAAATGAATGTGCTGAAACTTTCGCGACCGCTTTAAATAGGAAATTCGTAAACACGATAATCAAATTGGTGTCCTAAATAGAGAAGTAAGAATTGGAAACTAAAATTGAATAACAGATAAATATAAATTGTAAGAATCTTATAAGTTTACTTAGGGCTTGCCGGCCACGCGCATTATCTCCGTCCATTTTATGCGCATTATATTTAGAAGACTTTTAGAATTAAAAGTTGAGAATTTTATGTCACGTGCTTTACCTGTAAAATGACCATAACATTTTCTCCAAGGGAACTAAATATTTGTACCACCTAACATGCAAACCAATTATTCAATCACTTAATTTGTTTGTAAGTCAATCTAAATTCGAGAATAGTATTAAAAATGCATATAGGAGATTCGTTGCAACTCTTTCCGATTGAGACTTTTAGTTTCATTACTAAACTTGGAATCGCGTGGCCAAAATGCTTATCGACCAATGTTGGTCACTTGTTTTAAGTGCTATTAGTAATGAAAATTAATGAACGTGTATATCATCCTCCTAATTTGTAAATTTCTTATACAGTAGGAGCATATTTGAATGAAAGTACCCTTTGTATATTTTGGAACGATAAATTTGAGTTTCAACTACTTCACAGCTCGGAATATACAAGCTATGTGGGAATAAATATTCCAACTTTAAGAAACAACCAAGGTCAAGATGTCGTTGATGTAGGGTTAAAAAAAAAGGTTCTACAAGAAAAAAACTTGTTATTTGACGACCTTCTGATTAAAATTATTATATCTATTGAAGTGACGCACTGTGAGGTAAAGATTTCACTTTATTGTTAATTTTTTAAAAACTATTTTCTTTTCAGTCGTTCTTGGTATTCGACAAAGATATTGATCTGTTTATAGATGCCTTTAATAAGGCTTCTGTATACTCAATATGGAGGTCCTTACGAAATAAATTTATTTTTGCACATGTTGCTAACGAACTGCAGGAACGCTGGGAAAACCTCTTCTTCGAGGGTAATTATAAAAGCTAACTCGAAATATATTTAGATTTACAATTTTGGGATGGGTAGTTCAATGCGCCCCGTGACATAGTGCAACGACTTGAAATGCATCATATAAATCATCGATGTTGATTTCAGTATTTTCGATCTCAAAAGCTAGCCAAGATTGACTCATAATAGAAATGCTTAAATCCACATCGATGTCTTCTCGATGTATTTCCGAATGAATTTTTAGAATGCATGCTCTCGATATCGAGATGACGTCTTCTTGGTTTCAACATTGAATCGGTGTCGATTTCAAGATAAAATTAAGAAGAAAACAAAAAATCGAGGAATCGGGAATTATGCCTGTTAAGCTCCCTCGGTCGGCGTTGTTGCTGTTGGTTCCCGGTTCTCAACTTATTATACCCGTTACTCGTAGAGTAAATGGGTATATTGTATTCGTGCAAAAGTATGTAACAGGTAGAAGGAAGCGTTTCCGACCCCATAAAGTATATATATTCTTGATCAGGATTACTAGCCGAGTCGATTTAGCCACGTCTGTCCGTGTGTCCGTCTGGGTGTCTGTCTGCCTGTCTGTCTGCCTGTCTGTCTGTCTGTCCGTCCGTATGAACGCTGAGATCTCGGAAACTACAAAGCTAGAAGGTTGAGATTTCTTGGGCTTCCTACGCAATCGCCTTAAACGATTTTAAAAGGTGTCTGGCGGCCAAACTTTAAAAGATTTCTGAAAAGTAAAAATGCAGTTTTATGGTGGAATAAATTTTATAAAATCGGACTATTTGTTAAAAAGTTATGCGCGATCAATGTTTTATATCTCCATCTCCCCAGCACTCACTCTAGCTGAATAACGGGCATCTGATAGTTGGGGCACCCGACTATAGCGTTCTCTCTTGATTTTCTCTCCTTTATTTAAACCAGAGCTTGCAAGCTATGCCACTTTTGGCATATCTTTCTTATGTAGTAATTAATAATACAGGCCAACAAAATGTGACATGAGTCGGTGTCCAGGCCTGCCACATTTCATTTCGATAAATGAGGCTTTTCTAAGCATAAGTTGCCACTACGCCTATGGTCCATCAGCTCTGTTATTTTCGGTATCTTTAAATTAAGAAAATCACAAATTTTCTTAAACTTTTGGGATATATCTTTAAGAGTGGTTAACCAATTTTGGTAATCTTTTCAGAATTAAATAGTTACATGTCTCTTTTATACGGTCGATTTGGAAAATTCAATCTAACTGAACCACAAGAAGAATTGTGGAAGAAAATATTTTTATTTAATTTTTAAACGCTGTTCACAAATCACAATTTTTAAACTTAGCTGTGTCTTTAAAATTTTGAATGCGCCCACCTTCTCTTGTGGTTCAGTTATATTGAATTTTCCTAACCGACCGTATAAAAGAGTCATTTAACTATTTCATTATAAAAAGGCCTGGACACCGACCCATGTCACATTTTGTCGGCCTGTGTAATCAAATCCACGTTAAAACGAGGACGGAAGCTAAATTCGGCAAGCCGAAGTTTTAATACCCTTGCAGATTTTACGAATGAAAACTTGACAGGAATAGCAACATGAATTAATAAACAACAAAATATTTTATAATTGAAAAAAATAAAATTTTAAAATTTTTCACCCTGTTGTTCCTATGGGAGCTATAGGATATAGACGCCCGATCGGCACGCGCTTTTACCCCAATGAAGGAATGCATAAAATAATAAGATTTGGAAAGTTTCATGTAAATAGCTTATATTCTGCGCGAAATATCCTGAAAAACATTAAATTTTTACCGATTCCACCCTATTGTTCCTATGGGAGCTATAAGATATAGACGTCCGATCGGCACGCGCTTTTACCCTGATCAAGGTATGCGTAAAATAATAAGATTTAGAAAGATTCTTGTCAATGGCTCTTACACTGAGCGAAATATCTTAATTTTGTGAAAGCTATATCCGATTGTTCCTATGGGAGCTATAGGATATAGACGTCCGATCGGGTCGGCTTTCAAACTTGATCTGCGTACACATGTTTTAGGACGACTGTGAAAGTTTCAAGGCGCTAACTTTTAAACTGAGCTCGCAAACGGTATTGAAACAGACAGACAGACGGACAGACGGACATGGCTATATCGACTCCCTTATTAATCCTGATCAAGAATATATATACTTTATGGGGTCGGAAACGTCTCCTTCACTGCGTTACAAACTTCTGACCAAAATTATAATACCCTCTGCAAGGGTATAAAAAGCGAATCTCTTTAGCTGCAGGAAAAATTAGAGCTTTTTAACAGGTTAAACCTCCTTTGGCAGTAAACAATTTTGTTTATGTAGCTTTAAATCAATTCCCAACTATCTCAGAATATCTTCACAACATTATTTGGTTTTATTCAAAATATTTCGAAAGATTTGAAAGAACGCGCGAACCATTTTGTAGGAATAGGCTTGGTTGAAATACTTTGAGACATTTTTATCTTAAGACTTATGGTAGTTCATTTGAACCGATCTGCCTTTTATAGCTCATTTGAAAGGTAATTTGATTTTTTATGGCATTTTTTTATTAAAGATAGTTCCTTATATAGTCAATAAATATATTGAAACAAACAAAAAAATAACAGCTAACCTAAATTCAGAATACAATTTTATTTATACATTTATTTACATTTATATGTAGGGGAGAGTGGGGGAATTTCGTCAGCATTTTTTCAAAGCTATTTTTTGTCCATCTTGAGACACGTTATCATATTTCTATTTTTATTGTTGAATGCGGTTAGCACCAAGCTTTAAAATGTGACATTCCCCTAGTTTTTTAATTACCTTGGTGATTTATAAAAAATTAAAAAGTAAAACCAATATACTGGGGCAATCTCGCCACATAGGGGGGTAAAATCGCCACACAACTGGGGAAATTTCGTCATTTGAAAAATGTAGGGAACTTTACGCCTGTAAGTATGCTACACTGATCAAGCGTACCATTTTTGTTGACGTCCTATATTTGTTGCTGCTGCCGGTAGTCTGTTCGTTAGCCAGCTCGTCAAATAAAAAAATATGTATTTAAAATAGGTCCGAATTTACCCTAAGCATAGAGTGGCGAAATTTCCCCAGACAGTACTTTATTAGAAATAATTATTTTTCTTCCGAAATTAGGCGCGAAGTTAAAAATCACTAACGCAGAAATGCACATTATAGCACTGTGTATTATATAAAAAATCGTGTATCTTATTCCTTTTAAATTGTGGCATACAGAAAAAATTTCGTCGAGAACTAAATGTAGCTTTTGAACTGTTAAAACACATTTAATATTAGAGCTTAATTATCTTGGCCTTCTGTGCAAAACAAATGCATTGGTTGTGTCTGGCCGTCTTGAAGGACTAAAACAAAAAAATAATATATATTTTTACGACTTATGGATTCCGAGATATTGCACGTGACGAAATTGCCCCTGTGACGAAATTCCCCCACTCTCCCCTACAATGCAATTTTAGAAGGTTCTCGATTTCTTATGTAAAATTTATGCACATATCACAGCAGGCCTATACTTTTCCCTTTCTAGAGAAAACCCATTTTTTTGACTTTTATTTAACAGTAGTCTTATAGAAACCCTTTTAGGTGACTGTTAACTTAAAAGGGTCTCACCGAGTGGTTATTGAAAGACGGATTGCTTTGTTCGGTTGAGCGGAACGGTCGGACCGAAACCGAAAGAACAACGAAAAAAGGGTTCCCCTTAGAGAGAGAGTTTGTGAGCAACATTTTTTTCGGTTTTGTCGAGATTCAAACTGCCTTAGGAAAATCGGTTGACAGTTATTTGCAAGCTCTGATTTAAACACATGGATAACGTTACTAAGGGCCGCTTTCTCGAGTCCCTGTCAAAGTCCCTGATAGCTATCTGTTCGAAAAAGTTAAAGACCAGATAAACTGTTCGTAAAAGCAAATCCGCTTTCTCGACTGCTTTAATTTATCTGAACGAGAAAAAATTACAGAAGGCTGTTAACGCACTGTAAAGTGCAAAAAATGGCATGCTTCGATTATTTCATCAGCTGTTCGGGTATAATTCAAAGGAAAAGTCAACTGTGATTTCGTTTCTTCTTCATAGTTGGCTTTGGGAAATCAGCTGTCATTCTATCGAGCCGAAAACGCTTAACAGGGACTCCGAGTCCCTGTCAAAGTTAGCTCTCACATTTATGCTCGAGAAAGCCAAAATGCCTTAGCAGGGACTTTATCTGTTCGAGAAATGTTAGCCGGCACTCGAGAAACCGGCCCTAAGTTCTTACACATTTTTAGTTTCAAATGTGTATCAAAATTACTAGGGGAGTGTAGGGTAATTTGACGAGTAGGGTAATGTGACGAACTCGTCGAATCTCATATATGACGTCACGACAAAAATTCCAAATAAATGTAGTCGTCTCCCCTTATCGTATCGACAATGTATTTACAGTAATATTAATAAGAAGTCCCGTAATTTGTTCGTGAGGTAATTTTCGCTAAAAATGTGGTGAGCAAACTAGCAAACCTATTCAATTTACTTGTGTTTTAGCAGTGCCAGAGCAAAGATGAGTGGAAAAAAATATCAGGCAAATATATGCACGTATACATGAGATCTTTATCAGCAGTTTTTGGTTCTTCGCGTTTTTTTCTTTTGCGCCGTTTGAAAGTGACACCGTTTTAGCTCCAAGTATACCTTGTAGGGTATCGTGACGAACTTTTTGTAGGGTATTGTGACGAACTTTTTTTATTCAAGAATTTTAATTGTTATCGTTGATTATTTGTAAAAAAATATAATAATACCAGATAACATTTACTGCTGCAGTTTTATTGTTGTTTTTAATAGTGAGGTCAGTTTAATTTAATTAATCAAAAAAAAAATTTTTAATTTAAAAAATTGCACTTTGACCATTTTTTTTTTGTAAGTTTCGGTATTATCTTATTACTTCTTTCTTTTCCGTATCGAAAATAACTTTTCAGTAAATTATATAAAAAAAAATTTTTTTTTTGTTTGTGAAAAGGATGATTTACACCAAAC